TCAGATAAACAGGCAGCAGTGGATGAACGGAATTCCGCTTTCCAGGAAATTGAGAGCGTCATCATGTGCCCAGCTCTAAATTTAAATGAGACCATAATGGTGGACCTTATCAGGAAAGCAGATAAGCATACGGACATAGGCATTGTCACACGGAAAAAGAAAAAGCGCGCTGAGAAGAAAAGACTGCCTATAGACAGTACTGAGGCATGTGAATCTACGGTTTCTGTTCCGGATTCACATATCAATGCAATACAAACTATTGCGGAGCCAAGTCTGAGCGGTGTAGAGGATGTGATCCAGAGGCAAAATAAGGTAAATGAGTAGTTCGAAGTCACCCCTATGAAAAGAAAAGTAAGAAAACGGAATGTTACCTCTGCGTTTGACGCTAAATTTGAATCAGATTGCAGGAAAGAGACGACTTCAGGAACAAAAACGCCACAGCGTATTAAGACGGACCTCGCTGAGAGGTCAGTCATTTTTCGTAAGTTAAGAGAATTGTCCGATCAGGAACCAAAGTCTGGATTTCATCACGACCTCAGCCATATTAAGCCTCCAATAAGCAAGCTACTCCCAGAAACAGTTTCAGGAGTTAGCGTCTGTAAGTTTTATAGAATAGGTCAAAGGATGGATTCTGAAATACCTCAGAAAAGTATCCTATTGAAGATTACTTTCGCCACTGCTGAAGAATGAAACGCGATAATATTATACACACAAACTGATTGAATCCGGAATATGCGACCGGGATACTCTCTTCTTGTTTGTTCGAATTGAGAGATGAACGGCATAAGTATAACTAATTGTTCGCCGCCGAAACGGTAATAATACCTCCTACTTGAGATTTGCATATTGTAAAATGTCGATGCGGGACGATCGCCAAACATCTACGGATGATAAGGAGGAGTTCTCCACAATATTAAAAGGGTGCTGCACAAATGCTCGCAGCCTACTAAATAAAATGGCGGAGCTCGAGGCAATAGTGGTTATCGAAATAGCAGATGTTATTGCCGTCACAGGAACATGGTTATCGTCAGAAATATTGGATTATGAAATTCATTTGTTTGATATTTTGTCCAGTAGTGCTGATTGATTAGACCGTAGGAGAGGCGAAGTTGTCCTGTACACAAAACTTAACTGAACGATACGAGCAGTTAAGACGATAGCACTTGATTCAGTGACATGTAAACTGGTGCGTTGCAAGCTGAAATGTGGGCGGCAAGATTAGTTGCAGTAGATCGTATTTCAGAATATGTAGTAGATGACTTCCTCCTAAGTGAACTTAAGTCTTGTTGTAATAGGGGTAATAGTCTCACAGTAGGCGACTACAGTGCACCGCATATAAACTGAGTGAACATAGAAGTAGGGACATCGACAACGTCATTCGATTGCAAACTGTTAGAAACCTCATTTGCATTATCTTTATTCCATCTTATTAGAGATCCTTCCCTGGCAGAGGCTGTATACGCGTGGCCATGTGAGAGCATTTCGAAAAGGAGAGCGGACTCTCCCCACTCTCTGCCGTACCAGGGCTTCTTGGCTGATGACTACTGATCCATCTATCAAGCGGGGGTCGTTAGGCAAAATCCACCAGGCTTAAACGACTTGAAACCGGTTGTTTTAAGAGTAGTATCAAACTTCTGTTAAGATATTTGACTGTATTGTTTGGATAGATTTGGATAACAGACTTTTCTGATATTTGGAATGAAGCGTTTGGTTGTTTCACCTTTGTAAAGGACTCATGTGTTTGTGCAACCACTATCAGGTTATAGTTTTTTCTCCACTTTGCTTCCATACCATTAAGTACCGCCACAATCAGCAGATGCGAGGAACTCTTGAAGGACTGATTCAAGAGGTCAGTTTTCGTTCATGTTTTGGATGTGTTAATGAAGTCCTCACTCTACGCCAAATTTTGGGACAACTTCACACCTTTTTCAGGTCGACAATCGTCCACATTCGATTTATCACAAAGGATTGTACTTTAACATTGTTTAATAACAGAAGATTGTCTTGAAAGTTTATTAGCAGCTTGAAAGCCCTGTTCACAAACAATATTGTAAGGGAATATGACTTTTTCTACTCACTGTTCTGATCTAACAATTGAATTAATCAGGTTTGTCGAATTTCGTCATCCCTCGACGTTACCATCGATGACTTTCTGTAGACATCTCTTAAGGAAGTATGTGGTTGTGCAGACATTACTTGTGGAGAGGCTTCGATCTTGAATACGCAGACAATATTACCCTACTGTTAGATGGCAAGAAGTTATGCAATTTGCTATTAGTGTCTGTAAATTTAGCATGTAGTTTGCACCTAAACCTCTAGGGTTACTGCCTGTCCCAAGCCCGGATAAAGGATGAAGGTTGAGCATGGGGTCGGCAACCCCATCCCGTAGAAAGCAACTTTGCTAAAAAGACACTAACCAGAAAAGAACCATTTAAACTCTCCCCTAGGAGTTCAAGGGTCTTCATTCAGAAGAATTATGACGTCTCATGGTAAAAGCCGATATTCTTCGGATGTCACGAGGCTGATGCCCCTTCTAACAACCAGAGGAACAATTTTTATCGGTGCATGGAATGTTCAGACAATGTGGGAGACCGGGAGATCTAATCAAATAGCTACGGAAACGAGGAGATACAATTTTACGGTGTTCGGAATCGGTTAAATCCACTGGATCCAAGCTCGACAACCAATATCAAAGTCAGAATCGTCAAGACGGTTAGTTCTATTGTAAGTAGCTGAAATTTGGAGAACTACTACAACCGTCATCAAAAAGGTACAAGTATTTGTAAACAGTTGTCTGCGCAAGATAATCAATATCCGTTTGCTGGATACCATCATCAACAGCCTACTGTGGGAGAGGTCAAACCAGCTTCCAGCTAAGGAGGGAATTAGGAAAAGACGTTGGAAGTGGATAGGACATTATGTAAATCATCAAACTGCATCTCGAGGCAAGCGCTTACCTGGAATCGTGAAGGGAAACGGAAAAGAGGAAAGCAGAAGAACGCACTGCTACGAGAGTGCTGATGGGTGGCCTATGCTCTCTGACGAGGGGTAACAGGCGTATTGTTGGGGTGATCCAGAAAATTGCTTGCAAAAGACAAGCAAGCATCGGGAATCACTAAGAAGCGTTTCATTCAATCAGCGTTCACTTGAAGTCTTAGCCAAAAATATCAAGGAAGCGAAACGTCACATGTAGAGGCTCTGATTGGTTGGTTGCTACACTGCTACTATGTTTAGTAGCATTCCAGAATCTTCTAGCAACCCAAGGACATTTAAAATATAAAAACCCTATATTTTCTGTATTAAAATGAACCTTGGAGTAAACTACTTCTCGCGTACTTTGAGTCTTCTCTCTCGTGTTCAGCTCGCTGTATAATTCTAGCTTGGGGGTTACAGAATAGCTTAGGAGACGAATATAGCGTTCAATCCTCAAGACTTATCACGTATGTAAGTGAAAAAAAGAATGGCACTTTCTTCTGATCAGTCGCAGTTATTATTATAGCATCAGCAGATGTTAGCCTTTCAAGAGCAACCACTTGAAGCAGTTTTGGGCGGACTTTCCCCACTACCAGATATTCCAGAAAATAAAGAATCTATTTATGATGCAGACAATGGTCCAGTTATGGCCATTTCAGAAGTATGCCCTTTGGAATGTTCAAGTCCTCGTATACCCAAAACAAAATGTAAAATTGGTATATTTTCCGGCTCATTGTAAGACATTATCTTGCCAAATACACGTAAAACTGTGACAATACCGGTTGATTAAGAAACAGATTTTGTAAATGAAACCCTGAGTCCAGAATTCAATGAAGCACATTTGGCCTTGGATAACTTCATAACTAAACTTCAGCCTGAACAAAATAATGGTTTATGTGATATTGGTCGAGAAATTTGGACGGACTCATATCCAGAAAATAATTGGAGCAGTACGATGAATACGATTGCACCAAATGAAACTCAAAGTCATTGAAAGACAAGCTTATAATGAACTAACTTCTTATCCGATTTCTCCCCTATTGTTGCACATAATTTTGGTGAAATTTCTTATAAAAATGGAAAAAATATGTCAAATGAATCAAATGGTGATAAAAAATCTAATGCAGTTTTGGTAGATGCTGATTTTCCTGGTGATCCATTATCCACTACTGAGATTGTAAATACATTTGAGGGAAATATTTCAGAAGAATCAAACCCTAATGACCTCAAATCAAATGTCGTTCATCCTCACCATCTAGTCACTCCTAGTGGATTCACCATTCAATGCTAAAAATATATTTTAAATAAAGTCACATTAATTGTAACTTGGCGATATGAGGATCCAACCGTATTTCGTGGGAGAGATAAGTTTGGAGAATTTAAAGTTACAGATATTTTTTAAAAATTAGGATCTAAACTTCTAATCTCCAAAAAAGGGAGAACTGTTATATCCTAGTGAAAATTAAATTTATGGTTAACTTCTGAGAACTATTAATGGAATTATATATATTCTGTATATCTATACTCCTCTTATTACAAGCTTTATTTGGACCTATAGACTATTATGATACGATTTACTATCCTAAAATTTTACTCACTTTATTGATTAAGTTTCCCACGATCACGTCCACTTTTTGGCTTGATCTTGTTGAAATGTTATTTCCTATTTTGTGTTTTGATGTGGTCTTGTTTGCTAGTCTGCTCATACCGGTCGAACGTCATTAGTTCGGCACAGTACTAAAATTGTTTAAGTCGCATTTCGATTGGCGAATTAATCACGTGATAATTAGTCGGGCTTAAAGTCGCAACAATTTTATCCCAGTCTCAAATGACCAAGAGTTTCCAAATTTTGGATGTTGCCCCACAGATCTTAGATCCCTTAGATTGGGAACATTAGGTTTTCATTTATGCTATATTTCTCTTGTTTTTCTATTTACGATTTCTCATTTAAGTAACATAATTGATTTATTTCTCAGCATTGAATTTTTCACGAATTATAATTTACTGCTGTTTATGAGTTGGCTTATATGGTATTTATCTTACTATGCCCTTTCGAAATAATATTTTGTTTAGGGTATTGGATTACCTCTGGAAGAGTCACTTAAGTTTTGGCGCAAATCATTCTCTCCTAAATATGACAATGATCAATTTAATAAAGCTTACGCCTACAACATCAGACACAATTATGGAAAGGAAGGAAAACGTGCAGATTATACACCTTATTCTTGTATTAGGGTAATTCCTGTCTTTTGTTAAACGTTCATTACAGTATACCAAATTCGTCCTTCAATCCATTGTAGTTGACCTAAACATTGTGATTTTTTGTGTTAATGTAGGGTGGTAGTATAATCCCTCGTCAAAATTTTCGTCTAAAACTGTTATTGATTGTTGTCAGATATGTTTGTATATGTCCCAAAGGTTTTTTTATCTAACGCACACCAGTTTGATTTCTCGGTGTATATAGAACCTACTTTTTTTAGTGTAGAACGTGATTTGAGTATTTTTATAAACAATCTGCTTTTACGCTGCATACTACATTTTGATAAATATTAAGTTTCGAAGGTGTTCAACTGATTATTATATTGAGTTATATAGATCCTCTTGTAAAAAACTGATGTTATTCAGTTCTTTTGCTGCTAAATGGCATTTTATTTGTTCACGCTTTGATTCCGTTGTCAATTATTTCTGCTTAGCAATCACGAATTCATTTGGCAATAATCCATTTGTTTTCAAAAATTACCATAACTTATCAAGTTACTAACAAAAAACCAAATCAACCAATTATCAGTCAATAACTTAGTAGCATTTATTATATAAATTTGTGGGATTCATCCATCAATACTCCTAACAGTGCATTGAAAATTTGAAGCTTACAGTGTTAGTAATGGAGAGTCCGGCTTCGCCAAACTTCTAGATTTGGAAATAAGCATCAACTCTGCTATTCCGGGATAAAAATAGTATTTGAGATTATATTTATTTTAGTTGAACAAGTGCGAATTATATATAATGTCAATCAACTAACATATATTCTGAATGCTTTCAAAATCACATTGATGTTTATATTGTGAATGTTTATTGTTATTGATTAAATCCATATTTCAGTAAGGAACATATACATTTTGATTTAGTATCTTCAAAAACTATTCCATTTTCTTTATTATTTATAACATAAAGATGCTTTGTGCAGATGTGTACTACCTAAAGAATTTAAAAACGAAAAATGTAATAATTACAAAATTAAAAGTTTTGATATAGTCATGGATTCATGCATGGATCAACATAAAATTAGTTTTGAAGACTTAAGACAGGGTTTCGAGATGCTGACAGATGAAATTTTAACAGGATACATATTTTTAATCAAAATGGATGAATTAACAATCAATAATCATGTAAACTAAAACCAATGAAAGCAAAGTAATCACCAACATTGAAGAACAGCGAAACAGATGAGTAGAACACTTCAATGAATTCTTGAATCGACCAACCCCACTAATCTCATCCAACATCGAAATAGCATCCACGGACCTCCCAATCGATGTCGGCCCACCAACAATTGGAGAGATCAGCATGGCCATCAAAAAAATCAAGAACGGCAAGGCAGCAGGACCAGACAACATTCCAGTAGAGGCACTAAAAGCAGATGTAGCAGCAACTGCAAAGATACTCCACATTCTCTTCTGCAAGATTTGGGATGAAGAACGAGTACCAACAGACTGGAAAGAAGGACACCTGATCAAAATACCAAAAAGGAGATCTTAGCAAGTGTGGTAACTACAGGGGCATCACTCTACTCTCAATACCGGGGAAAGTCTTCAACTGGGTATTGTTAAACAAAATGAAGGACTCCGTATACACCCAACTTCGAGACCAACAGGCAGGATTTCGTAAGGATAGATCGTGTACAGACCAAATCGCAACTCTACGGATCATTGTGGAACAATCAATTGAATGGAATTCATCACTCTAAATCAACTTCATTGACTACGAAAAAGCATTTGATAGCGTGGACATGACAACACTATGGAAGCGTACCTGAGAAAATAGTCAATAACATACGGAATTCCTATGATGGATTAAACTGCAAAATCTTGCATGGAGGACAGTTGACAGACTCGTTCGAGGTAAAGAGCGGTGTCAGGCAAGGTTACTTACTCTCACCGTTTTCTCTTTCTCCTGGTAATCGAATGGATCATGAAGTCTTTAAAATCTGAAGGGAGGCATGGGATACAATTGACAGCTAGGATGCAGTTAGACGATCTAGACTTCGCAGATGATCTGGCCCCTCTATCGCAAACGCAAAAACAGAATCAAACTTGACTGAGAAGATTTGGAAGATGTAAAGACCTTTACATATCTGGGTAGCATCATTGATGAACAGGGTGGATCTGATTCAGATGTGAAGGCGTGGATCGGTAAAGCAAGAACAGCATATTTACAATTGAGGAACATCTGGAACTCAAAGCAACTGTCAGCCAACACCAAGGTCAGAATTTTTAATACAAATGTCAAGACTGTTCTACTGTATGGGACGGAAACTTGGAGAACTACGTAAGCCATCATCTAGAAGATACATGTGTTTATTAACAGTTGTCTACGCAAAATATTTCGGATCCGTTGGCCGGACACTATCAGCAACAACCTATTGTGGGATAGGACAAACCAAATCCCAGCGGAGGAAGGAATCAGGAAGAATAGAAATCCCGATTAAAGCGAGCTAAGGAGTCGGTTAACGATTAAAGTTATTGTAAGAAATGGGAGAAACCATATAGGGGTCAAAAACATACTGATACAATTCACTTGGTATCGTTTACTTGGATCTTCCCGTTGATGTTTAGGACTGCAATTGATCAGTGTCTTATTGGCATATGTGCGTACTGCTTTAATTCACAAACATTCTAATCAAAGATGGATAGTGGCTAGTAGTGAAATCCAGGTTGCGCGTACCAGTGAAATCAATGAACGAAAACGAGTGTAACTACTTGGTTACAGTTTAATGAAACTGAGGATACACTTTTTGGTTTTTCAGAAATGTTCATCGCGTCTGAGTAATCTTGATACATCAGTTAACAAACGTTTGTTTATAAGTATTATTACTGAGGTTTAACCAGATAATTTCGAATAAATTGAGCACTAGTGGACTGCGCATAATAACAAAATAACGATACATTTGTAATATCTTAATTAATCGAGAAACTGAATATCTGACGTTTTGCGATCTGATTTTAACCGCTTCTTTATAGAATAAATAGCTGAATCAAATTAACACTTGTTTAAATCTACTTATTGGGACACTAAAAGTAGATTCGTATTGTTTATTTATACTAGATATCTCATATGTACATCATTTTTATGTTTTTTTTGAAAGCACACATATTTACCTTGTTCATCGGTATATCATTGTTCACTTCTACTTATGGCTTAGATTGTCTCAGGCAGTGCTCCAGGAGCGGGAGATTATCACGGTTGTCCTTTTCGGCATATGGACCCTGAACTTCTTCGCCAACGTTTACTGTCAGGTGGTCGTCTGTCGTTAGATATTGTGGAAACAATTGTACAGCGAGCAAAAGAAAGACTTTACCACCTAAGTTGTCGTGAATATTTACGTGGGATGTTAAAATTGAGTGTAGACGATATATCTGGAATAACCATTCACCATCCAAATCAATATTTTGAAGAAGCTCGAAAGATAATACAAGGTAACAAAAATAACCCTACAGTTGACAAAATCCATGTGAAGAAAGTTAAATTGTATAACGGTGATGATGACGACAGGCTACTTCAAGCTATTGACATTAGTGATGCAAGTTTTACCTCATCTAATGAGGTAATGACAGCTTAATATGCTGATCGCCAATGTTTTTATCATTTCTTCGGTTTACGAAGGATTTTTTGTCAGTCGTCTTTAGCACTTGATTGGTTCAATTACGTATTTTGAAAAGTTGGAGAAAAAATTGAACTGAACGTACACAAAATCTTATATGCTTGAAATTCCACCATTTTTATTGTTCTCGATACTTTTTATTATGATTTTTATTTTCAATTAAAAATGCTTAGATGTTCCGTTTTCTATTCGTCTTTACATAGTTGAACCAAAACAATTCAGTTATTTGTCGATAAACATCCTATTCAGTATCGTCTGTTACAATTTTTCCAATGCTGTATGCATCCTCTAATTTCTATTTCATGTTTGATGTTACTTGGTTTCTATTAGTGTTTGTATCAGAGTACCCTTTTTAATGAAAGAAAATAATATTCGTTTTAAATCACATTACTCCAGTAACAGATATCCTAAGGTATTTGTTATTAAGTTTATAATCTGTCATATGTTAGATTTTTTGACTAGTTTCTCAAGGTACGGGTAATGAATCCTTACCCACAGTGTTGTCAAAAAAGCCTATTTAGATAGGTTTTTTAAATCATACTTTTCCTGTATTCAATATCGTTATAACAAGCCAATATAAACTAGTTGATTTATTCGCATCCGCTTCTTGATTTCATAAGATGTTTACAGGTTTCTTCAATGTCCAGTACGATTAACCTGGTAAGTCGGTTCCAATAGTAAAAGTCAATGGATGATGTTAGCGGGACATAGATTGGATTAAAGCATGCTCAATGCACGATTGCTTTGGTGCACGCTGATTGGCCAATTCTTATCCAATCAGTGTTAGTCAATACTTAGTGAACACTCTAGGAATCTTCTCATGTGAAAAACTATGAATATACTAACGTTTTCCCTGTTGTGCTTCTTACTTCCATCTAACCTTGTTATTGGAGTATAATCTCTTTGCTGTTCAACCGTGTTCTGATTTGGGGACTTGTCGAGTGAATCGGTGTCCGAGAATACTAAGCAATAGGAATAGCTGGGTTATAACCGTAAGAGAGAATTATAACAGGTGGTTAACGTTACACGCCGGATAAATCGATTTCTGCTGAGGCTTTATGTCTGCTGCGACCAATTGTTACCATGTCACCAGAAAATAATTTAGTTGATTAATTTTCGTCCAAGTGTGTGACGACGGACCACCGGTGAACTCGAGGAAGCTGTAAGAGGCTCAGAAGGAGCCGAAGACGTCCCATCCAATCACCTTTCGGAAGAATGTTCTAGAATTCCAACGTGTAGCTTCCCGATTGGATAATGCTAATAACCCCCTGTATACGAATTGGAAGACTGTAATGATGATTTCCTTCTCACTAAAAACTGTAAATATCTGACAATTTTGTACTATGATTGACACTGTTTGGAATAATATTCCTTTCGTTAGTCTTCTGTCTTCTTATTGCGACTTGGAAGGGTTTTGGTGTTCTAGTGCTCTGTTTTACGCAGTAGTATCAAGAAAAATCAACTTTTCAAGATATAACAAAGTGTAAAATAATGCAAAAGTTGTGTTTCCCATAGGTTTAAGAAAATAGTGAGAGTGTAGAAAAGGAGAAGATGCAGATATGCTAAATTATGTAAGGAGATAATTAGTGAATGCTTATCCTTTTCATTCACTCTAAACAGCATAGCAGTTAATGGTCACCAATAGGTCAATGTAAACCACAAATGAGTGAAATGTTGAGCTATTAACTTACTGTATATTATGCCCTTCTTTCCTAGTTACTGATGTGAAAGACCATTCTGCTGTCGTTCTGAATGGTGTCGGTTATCAAAATCAGATACTCAAAATGATCCTTATTTTAAAGATTCAGGTAACTCACCAAACTAGACGTCTTACTGGTTTAAACTAGGACAGCAGGTGTCATTTTTTGTGCAACTAAACGATGAATATTCAGTAACACATTGGTTTAAACCATATTAGAGTAACAAGAAAATTATGATGTATGAGTAGTTACAACATAAGAGATAAGCGAATAAAAGACAGGATTAAGGGTTGCTCTGGAGTCAAGAGTTAAGTTTAAGAGTGTTAACGTTAGGTAAGAGTCAGGTTTAGGATGTGAGAGTTAGAGAATGCTTTTTAATCATTAAAACGCTCTTGGCTACGTCCCGAGTCACATTACGTACTTTCAGGTACAGTGTGCACCAAGAGCACGTATTTTTTGCAATTTAGCTTATACAACTTGTTAGATTCATTGTTTGGTTACGCAAGTTATTTTTAACCATATTCGAAAATAATTATAGGCAAGTTTTACCTATTATTACTTACACTTACTATCCCTCACTATGTTTTCAATTTTAGGCGAAATTTTAAAGGCGTTATTTCAAATCCGACTGATTGCTTGATGGTCGTCGATATTATATGGTTTTACCACATATTTTACTTTTACTTTACTGCTCACAAACTAACATTTGTCTGATAATTACTTGTTTCAAAGATGGAGGATAAGTCGGTTTATTGTTAATCCATCAACTGGACTTGTAAATCAGAACGCAAATATTTCTGAAGTGGGTTTAACTGGTGAATAGATTGAGTGTAATCAACAATGAGACTACGATGTTCCAAAGTTGTTTGAACACCTATGTATTGCAAAATCTGAATGCCTTTAGTTTAACTTCAGAAGAAAATAAGGATGATGAGTTTAAAAATGGGATAAGATTATTTCCTAATAGAGTTTGGCTTCCAGTTGTTTTTTAAATGATATCAGCTTTTGAATTCGACGTGTAATTCCCGGAAAATTTGATACAATTTTAAAAGAATTTCACTCACATTTTAGACAGCCAGAATGTAAGCCTACTCTCCTTGTTTAGCGTCATTTCATTAAGAAATATAATCAGCTAATTATATTCCTCAAATTATCGAAAATATACAGAAGCTGTCTGATATTACGTACACAATTACAATATAGATTACTGTTTCTAGACGTTCATTTTTATCCTCACCTAATAATTTAATTGACGATGCTACAAAAAATCGTATTGCAAAACTAAATGTCTTTATTCGTATTTAGAGGTCAAATATTGAGTAAGCATCTTCAACTGTCTTATACAACAATATTTTGACAAAAATTATTTATTTGTCATCTAGCAACAATAACAAAGTTGCTAAGATATATAGACTACTTAATAATAGTATAACTTCTAAATATTAATTTAATTGAGATGTTTATTGAAAATTTGGTCTGGCTAACTGGGTTATCATTAACTAGCTTATCTGCGTGTGTTTAGATATCTAAAAGTTTTTCATGAGCTAAGTATGAAGCTATATGAGCAGTACAGTGGTTCATATAAAAAAAATTCAACTAGTGAAACTAACTTTATAGGTAAGAAAGTAAAAGTACACTGAAACATCAAGTTAAACTATCCCTATGCAATTATGAGTACCGTTAGTAGTTAACTTACAAGAACAAACTATGAACTTCATTTGACTTTAAGAAAATCTAAATATTCGGTTATCAGGAGAGTTTTTAATATGAGGATCAATATATTTGTTGATCAGTTGGTCTCCACGACCATCATTCATTTTCAGTTACTCGTTCATATATCTGCTGTCAAAAATACAATATACGACCGTATTGATTCATCGGATTGTACTGGGGATGTTGAATCCAAATGGCCTATTAAGATTTCATAGATATTTTAACAGTAAACTGTATTCTGAATTTCCCTAGAATAAACTCTTTGGTAGACTTTAGGGATTTATTTAAAATTTTCATTCATACTTAAATTACAAAGCTTGTGACAAAATTATAAGTATTCACTTGTAGTTTCTTTTTACAAATACGGTTAGTCAAAGCAGATTTTCAAGAGAAAATATTTCAATTATTGTTCAGAAGTTATACTACTATTAAGTAGTCTATATATCTTAGCAACTTTGTTATTGTTGCTAGATGACAAACAAATGAATAATTTTTGGATAATACTGTGAGAAGACGAAAGTTGTCAGTAGTGTGTGATAAATTTGTGTAATACATCTCGAACAATCTAATCACACATATACCTGTTAAGGCATTGTATATAAAAAATGAAAGGTCAATTAGACGAAAGGTAAGGGGGAACAAAGATGATAAAATAAACAAAAACAGAGTGACCACGTTGGATAATAAATCAATATTGTCAAGGTAGTTTAAGGGTAAGAGTAAATTGTTTTTAAACACATGAAGAAGGTTTCAGTTTCCGTATTCCCAAAGCTTCAATAAATCTTAGTATATGCCCTTGAAATTTTTAATACAAATCTACAAAGACTGACTTGATATCAACCCTATGATCGGTCTCAACCAAATGTTTTTCAATGAAAGAAGATATTTATCCATCGTGTGATCTTATTTAACCACTGGAATTCATCTCGTTTTGTAGCCATTTAGATATTTGTCCAGCCACCCTTGCAGCTCATGACTGCTCCTCCCTATATACGTGTTTCCATACATATATTTAGAGTGATAAACTCAATGCGGTGTGATACAATAGCTTACACGTTGTTTGAGTTTTCGGTGAAAAATATACCTCAAATTTTCTATAACGATGTGTTGGGCCACATAAAATGACCTGTTGATAGGTAATTTAAGTCGTTTCAACATGGGACTATTTAAGTCACCTATGAATGGTAGAGTATGATAGACTTGTTTTTGGGTGCCAAAACCGTCATAGGTCTATTCATACTGCTACTTTTCCATTGATTTATAAATCTCAGTGAATAATCGTCCCCCACCAATATTTCAGTTACGAGCTGCGCGTCTACCTCAATGGTACTGGCAGTACGAATCCGATTGATGTAAATCACGACAATAGGCAATAATAAGTTACGAAGTATTTGCGTAATGCTTATACATAACTTTCAGTCTTTCACTTGCATCTTCCGACGTGTTCTGAAATCTAAACTGTCTATTCTCCACGTGTTACATCAATGGCATGCTTTTAATTCCCCGAAACTTCACTCCATCCCACAATTGCTGCAAGTTTCGACGCCACGTTCTGCTACACACCACTTACAAACAAACTTGTAGGTAGCGTCCATTACATTGATCCCACTAAATAAACCTTTATCAATCCACGTCTGTACTGTATTGGACTATGATTATGGGAATTAAGGTATTGCTCTGTTCATTTCGACTTTCTATATGCAGAACGTTTGATGGGACCATCGTCTCTCTTACTAATCAGTATGTCCAGAAAAGGGAACTGTTCATTCATCTCTTCTTCGGATGTAGGAGACTTATGCTTTTGATTTGTGCAGAATGTTTTTAACAAGTGGTTCATATCTATACGTTTATCCATGTACCGCTTATACAGATAGATTTTTTGTATTGATTCTTCTGTGAGATTTTCTAGATATCCCGTAGTTCTAAAGGACTACCCATATCTACACCATCAATCTGTCGAAAATCCTTGTCCTCAAAAGTGAATTTCACATTGTCAATACATAATAATGAATCCAAGTTTTTACAGGAAATGTCAATGGAAGATTATTTAATGAGTTATACTCACATGAAATATTAGTCTTCTTTAGAGGCATATTTGTAAATAAAGCGTTTATATCAAAGGAGCACATTGTCTTTGTTTCTGCATTAGTATTATTTCAGTAATTAAAATGAGTCATCCAAAGAGTACTTACAAAATTGATTTCAAATAGGGTTTATTACTTTTATCAGCTATTTTATAAGACTGTGTGTAGGTGGTCGAAACATTGATAGAATCGGATGTAAGGGGGTATTGGTCCTATGAACTTTTGGTAATCAATATAAATTAGGATACGCCGAACACATAGGTTTTAGTAAATTAAACTCCTCTTTGTTAATAACATTCATGTTTAACAATTTCATTAGATTCGAGTTTACGTTCCTTCCTAGTTTACGTAATCCATCAGAGTCAACATCAGCCAGAAATTTGTTTTTATCATTGAAAAATCATCTCATTTTATTTTTGTAAACGGGCTTATTCATTATAACGACATCTGATCCTTTATCAAGTTTAGCCATAATAATATCAGTATTATTTTGCGATTCTTCTAATGACTGGAAGTTTTGGGCAGTTAATATACTTCTCTGATTTGATCCAGAAAAATGAAAGTGGTGCACAATATCCTCTACTGATTTATTATCCAACGTGGTCACTCTGTTTTTGTTTATTTTATCATCTTTGTTCCCCCTTACCTTTCGTCTAATTGACCTTTCATTTTTTATATACAATGCCTTAACAGGTATATGTGTGATTAGATTGTTCGAGATGTATTACGCAAATTTATCACTTAATTTTAATAAACTTCATCTTCGCATTACCTAAATTTATCAAGGGGACTAGTTGTCTTGAATAATTCTTGCCAAAATATTGTTATTTAAGACAGTTGAAGATTTTTACTAAATATTTTATCTCAAATTTTGAACAAAGGCATTTAATTTTTTAATTCAGATTTTTTCTAATGAACTGCCATGATTGTACCAAAACTCATACTCTTTTGAGTCCTATTTATATCAGTGATATGATTCATAGCCAAACGAACCTGTTTGCTCATCAGTATACGTCCATACTGCTATATATTGCCCAAGACTGTTGATCTTTATTTGGTCGATATTTCCGCTATGAAATCCTGTGTTGCATAAGTTTTTCGTGGAGCTGGGCCATATAAGTATTGCTCTGAACCACTTACCAGTAAGAAGAATACATGAATGAAAAGATTACCATAAAATAATCTATTTTGAATAGACTCTAAGACAGAAGTGTTATATTTGTTTATGATGGTAGAAATTGACACAAGTTATAAACTCGTGGTCATTTTGAGTGATTGACATTCCAACTCGTAATCAGGGAAATCAAATCGTTCGAAACACCGAAAAACAATTTACAATGCTTCGATAAAATTAGGTTAATCCATAGATAAGTTCTGATGATGTCGAATTATTTTTTATGTCGTTTAATAGGTTTATTCATTTAGTCAATAACACCTTTGTATCAAAAGTCATGGCTTGTGATCTTTGTAGTGTGAATTTAAACGGAAACTTTTGCTAACATAGAAGTCATATTAATAAGGACTATTGATTTGTAAAAATGGCCACATAGATTAAATAAATTGTAAGTAATTTTCAAGGCTTCCCTCCGAGCTCATTGTCCCACACATACTTCAGAAGTACCTGGAGTTAATAATAAGCTAATTACGAGCATTTAAAACCAATCCATATAAATCGTCATGATATGAAAAATGACGCCTGGAATGATAACATATTTCAGTATAAGGCAATAAGATGGGCAAAAAATTAAGCTACTCTGAATTCTCCTACTAATTAAAACAAAATGAGAATTTTCTTTCACACATGACAATTTAATTCATTTGAACTCAGTGAGTGTTGTTTGCGATAAAAACAGCAATAACAAAATCCCTATAATATTTGCTGGTTACTTTCGTGCAACGGATCTAATGGCCCATTAGTCAGTGAAAACATATTTTTCATATAAGAGAATTATAAGTATCTGTCATACTTGAATAAAAACCCTATTGTTTTCATTAGATTAAGCTAGAAAACACTGCTTTATTATTTGGTTGACCATAAAGTTACAAAGGATTATCACAATAGCAAACATCAAGGTATGATTTAGACAACTGCCTATTAATCACAAGGGAATATTCCACATTTTATTTTTAACCGTAGATTAAATCACTGACTGATCCTATTTCCTGTTTTTTTTGTTATAAATCTATAAGTGAGAAAAGGATGAAGCCGAAAATGAGCTAAAATAGATGACTTCATTAATTGCCACTTCAACTTTTGTTTTAGTGCGTCAGTGACGGATAGACTCATCATAATCTTTTTTTAATTTGTTTGTTGCTAACAGATGATTTAACACTAAATAAGGATTGTTATTGTTTCCTCTATTTCGATAAATATTATGATTTTCTCACTTTTTTTTACTAATTTCCGCTTAGATGAATTGAATATACGTCCCCCATCTCACATATACACACTCTTAACACCCATTCAAAATATGATTTCTCAGTTAAATCCGTTGGTAAATGCATAAA